AAATTATAATATTAAAGAAATGATAATTTCCTAATATATATTCAAAAACTTTTCTCTAATTTCTATTTTTTGTCTCAATTCATTATCTTACACGTAACCATTATATCTTATAATATTTTGTCATACATCATTTTAATAATTTCTTCATTAAAGTCTTCCATAATGTACAGACTTGAAAAAAATAGGAAAACTAGTCTTTTCCTCAAATGCTGCTAAAAATTTATAACTGCAATTTGTCACATTATTCTAACTACATTTTCATAAATTTTACCGGAGAGCGATATTTAAAAAATAACAGTTACCCTTAAGCAACATCGTCATTAAATATGGAGGGAGTGGTAAGGATTATTTTATTGTTTTATAGGTAATTGCGTTAAGAAGAGGACAGCGTAAGATTAAAACTTTTTACATTTTTTTTGAAAAATTTTACAAATAAAATATTCTTGTTATTTCTTTTTTTTTTCATTTCGTTATAGCGAGTTCACCTAAAACGAATTATTCGTAGCTATTCAAATCGAATATGAATAATGGGAATTATTCATAAAATAATAATGTTTTCATTCTTTAATCGATTTATTCATATAATTAGAATATATATATTATTCATAAAAATTCAAGGTTATTCCGATAATGGGAATTTTATAGGCCTTTCCAGGATTTCGTATGGGGGGGGGGGGCTATGGGATGAAGGTTTCAGCCATAAATTTTATTATCCTGACTTTTAATTATGTTATATCTTTATAAAAATAATTTTGAGTTTTCACTTCTATAAAAATGTCCTTTTTTCTAAGTATTTTGAATTCTAGTCGTTATTATAAAATTATTAACCTTTACTTATTTTTCTTTTAAATTAGCTTAGACTAATATTTACGCGACCAAGAGAGGGGGAAGGGAATTAACCACTTCCTCATCTCTATTTGCGCGCCTTTAAAATTTCAATTGCTCTGCATGTGATAAATATAAATTGGAATATATATGTGATAATAGGTAGGGATGGTTTTTATAAAATAATAGTCATCATTAAAGCGAACAAGATTAGTTTCAATGGTAGAGAGCTATCTTAGAATCTTTACTTCTAATTTTCTTCTCGCTTTGTACCAAATTTGCTCATTATATAGTTTTTTATATTTGTTATTTTTAAAAATATTTCACATATTTTGTACATTCTATTTTATTATTGTCTTTAGATTTATTAGAGTTTATATACTATAAATAATAAGAATATTTATTTAAATCATAAAACAGTAATATTTAAAAAATATTATAGCTCTCATCCCCCACCCACCCCCCCCCCCTACTGCGGACGAGCCTGAAAATAACAAATATGAGATTAGCACTAATCAAGAAATTATGAAATATGTTTGTTTTCAAGTGAAACATATAATGGCAATAGATATGAATAACACTAATGACCTGTAAACCTAGCAAATCAAAATACACATCCCTTTAGCAATCAGAAAAATGCATCAATGAATATTGATGGAATTCAAGCTCGGAACGATGATTCAGAAGTCTTCTACTGGATAAATGTGTTTATTACTATATTGTTTATTTGTAGATTTTTTATTTGGCTTTTCAAGTCTTTCACACTGATGTGCACCCTTTATCCTTAAAATGCTACATGAGCTATTATTAAACTATAACTATATATGTAATAATTAAATCGTCAATTATTTTCAAGAGATATTTAAAATTTAATAATATGCATTTTAAATCTTTCATTTTTAAAGAGCTTATAGGTTCTAAACTAAGCAGAGTTGGAAAGGAAAATCTTAAATCTCATAATTATGGTATTATTATATACGACCATATATAATTTTTTAAATATTTGAGAAGATCGTGTTCAAAATTGAATTTTTCGGTTGCTTTAAAATGGAATTCAACATTCTCATGAGAATTGATCTATTGGTAAAAATACTTATTGAGGAGGTATGGCTAGGTTATAGGTTATTTTAAAATGTTGCATCGTGATTGAGGTAGTATACATAATAAGAGGGTATTAATGTCATTAATGGCATGTGTAAAAAAATACCCTGTCAATGCCACCTTGGTTTATCAATATAAGAGAGGAAATTTAATCTATTTAAAATGTGTTTTCTTCTGTTTATGATTAATAGCTCGTGATGTATTTTATAAGATATAATCTAGAATGCATGATAATGATATAGTTAAAAGTCTTTGTTCCAAAATAATTGTGTATTAATGCGCATAAGAGTATTACATCTTTCCAAGGGGAGATTTTGGGGAGTAGGGGTTTGTCCCATACCCACTTACAACTCTTTTCACGGATATTTTAAATAATCGTTAATATTTATAATCTCCTCCCCATACCTATAACGGGTTTAATTTTAGTTGACAGGAGTTATTGTACCTAATTACAATATTTACTAGTTGCATTTTTAAAAAGGTAACCAGTTACCGTTATATTTCAGAAGTAACTCGTTACATTGCAAGTTATTTATAAATTATTTATATAACACATCATATATTTTTTTTATTATATAAAATAAATTTGTCATTTACAAGATTTTAATCAAGGGAATTGAAATTTAAAATACAATTAAATTTAAAAAATAATTGCACTGAAAAAAATATCACAATATAATATTTATTTTTTTAAAAAATTGGATTAACTTTTGAGTAGTTAGGAGAAAAAAAAGCGAATGGTTTGGTTGGGCATATCATCCTTTATTAAATTGTCATTATATTTCTCTCATAAGAGATTTAGTTAATATAATTTTGAAGATTTAAATATGAAAATTTGTTTAAAAGGTTGGAATTGTCTTTAATATATTTCATATTTTTCGCTTAAAATTCTTTTCAAAACTTACAATAATTAAATTTTTTATTTAATATTTAATAGACAAAAGATATCCCTATGAATTTGCTTATTTCACAGTTGCATTTTTCTTTCCAACAAAAGATGCTTATTTATTCAATAAAAAGGATGAAATTTTGTATAAACATAGTTTAGTAAAAAAAAGATTACTGAAATAACTAGATCAAAATATTCCCAAGTTTTTTTGTTCTAACAATGTAAATCGATGGTATACTCAAGGATTAATAAATTTTATTTGGCTCTAACAATAAACTATTTTATAAATTAGTGTTTTAAAGACGTGTCAGTTTTTCTCCAAAATAATCTTTCATATTCTAAACAAACATAGTACAGGACACTAGATGTGAGACATTAGTGTATCTATATAATATTATATATATATAATAAACAATAATTTCAAATTTGGGAAATCATCATATTAAGATGAGGAATGAGATGCAAAAATATTTAACATATTTTAAAAGGTAACAATTACTTTAAAATATAAATAGTTACAAATACTCGTTATAATATTTCAGAAATAACTAGTTTAACTAGTTACTTTAGTTTATATATTAAATCAATGTTTATATTTGTTTGTATTCATCAAATAATGTTTTGACTACTTATCAAAACATAAAAGATAACCTTTAAGCGTTATTTTTGGCTAAAAATTTTTTTTTTACAAATAATTTTGGGAAGGGGGAGGTACATTTCAATATTTTTATTTTGAATAAAAGATGAATTGTGTTCAAATATTTGTAAAATAAAAACAATGTATTTTTATTTAGGGATGATTAAAAGCGAAGATTTTTATTTACAAGGTGCTCTTAAAACAATGTAAAAAAGTCCAACTAGATATTTTTATTGCTGATAAATTTTTTCCCACTTTGAATTCACTTTAATTAACTTAGGAGTGCTCAAAATAAAAATTTTTTCTAGTAGTAGTACTAAGCACCTTGCCCCCCATTCCAATATATAAAATATTTATTTATCTTATATGTCGGTTCTATAAATATATTTTTTTTATTAAAAATTTTAAAGGTTTATTTTTAATCATTATTTAAATTTTTTGAAATATACTTGAGTCAAATGGGAAATTATTGTAAATAAAATTCTTCAAAACATTTTGCCCGAAAGAAACACTAACAGCTATTTTCCAGTTCTAGTATTTTTTTTAAAGTTGATAAACGGTTTACACTTCCTAGTTTTGATTTGATATATACCTTCTTCTCTTAACATTTGAAAAAGATGATAAGGGACTAAAAATGTTATATTTAACTTAAAGCAGGAGGTTATTAATGTTATATTGGATAATATAATAATTTTAATCAATCTGGGCTTAGTCATGGAAGAAAAATATTTGTTAATTTTAAATAAACTCCTTAAAGCATTTGAGTTGGAGGAGAAAAGCGAACATGAATTATAAAATATTAGCTTTCATTTTCGAAATATTATTCAAAATAAATTTATCAATATCCAGTTTATGTAATTAGAGACAAATTCTCATGGGGTTTGTTTTATTTCCATTAAATAACAAATTTTTAAATTAAAGCCATGTTTCAATGGTTTTATTTTTATCTACCAAATATATTATAAATAATAAATTATTGTATTTAAATTATTGTTGTTTGTGCACGTTCTCTAGAGAAAATAAGAGGAACTCAGGGTCTGCAATGGGTTTGGTTTGAATTAATACACCCTCTTGTTAATTTTTAAAAAAAAGGAAACTTGCTCGCCTGACCAAAGTTCTTAAAAATAATCTCGCCAGCATTCATCTAAAAAAAAATTACTTTGTTCGTTTGGTTCTTTATTTATTTTGGATATTTTAATTTAAATTTTTAAATATGCAATATCATGAAATACAATTAATAATTTTTAATAAATATAAGAACGTTACTAATTCTACCGAAGAATATTTCAATTCCGCAAGCTCTCCCGTTATTTTATAAATATTTTTAACCCTACCACATGTAATACTCAGCTAACACACAAATCATAATTTTCTTTATCATGCATATGATCCCACAGTCGTGGGATTTGTTTTGATAAGTTTCTTCCATTTTGATCGAGTAAGGGCCATGTCCGGATTTATCTTCTTAGTCATCATAACTTTGTCTACTTGACCTTTCCACGTAACACGAGGTCGTCCTCTTCCTCTCTTCCCCGGCACCTCCATGTCCTATACTTTTCGATTTACATCATTCGTCTCCCTTCTTAGTATATGACCATACCTCCTTAACCTATTTTCGTTAATCAAGTCCGCCATAGGTTGAATACCCATTTTTGCTCTGAGACAGTCATTCGTCATATGGTCGAGTTTAGCATACCCCAAGTTCCACCGTATTATTCTCATCTCCGTGGCTTGTAATAACTTTTCTTCCGTAGCGTTTAATGCCCATGTTTCACTTCCATAGAGTAACACCGGTCTTACGATGGATTTGTAAGCCTTGCTTTTCAACCATATTGGCCTCTTCTTGTCGCACATTACACCGGATATACTTTGGATCCGTGCATTGACTTCTTTTGCGCAACCTCCCTCTTGATATAGCATCGAGCCTAGGTATGTGAACCTGTCTACTTTTGGGTACTTTAATTAGTCATCCAGCGATATACCGTTTTTCGATTATTGACCTTTAAACCATATCCAGGTAAAAATATTTTCCTGATTCTTTTCTGTAAAATTATATAAATGATATCCTTAAGGAAAAAGAATAAATTTCATGGATTGTATATGTTGACTTGGGTAGCTGGTAGTAGCCATACCGTTAAATAATAATACACAAAAATAGAGGCTAATACTTATTACTCAAAACGGACTATTTATCATCTTTAAAGCGGTAGGGTATTAAAAAATTTAAACTGGTTCACAGACCATTTCAGAGATTAGTTTAGGGTCAGCTGACCCCTTACACGGACAAAATATTTAACTCTCATATTCGATGTAGGTTCTTCAAACAATAAAGGTTAATGCTAGTAATTCGATTCATGGTCGAATTGATCCTTAACAATTTCTCATAAATTATCTACTAAACATAAGTCCTAAAATATTAATAAATATTCCCCTGTCTGCACCACGCTCTATCTAATTTTTTAAAATTTGTTTAAGATAATATAAGTGGTGATATATAATATATACACTCTTTTTTACAATATACACCCAATCGGTTAGCTTTATTTTCTACTAACCTGTTATGATATTGGATTTTTATAATAATATAAAATATTGTTAATCTATATTTGATCATTGAATAGTATTTATTTCAATATATTCTATTTAAACTATTCGTATATTTAATTTAACTTATAGGTAATATTCAAATTCACAGTGACAACTATAGAAGAATGCCCCTTACTCTCAACTCTTCCCTTTAAAAATATGACTTATCAATCCCAAACAATCTTTTTCTAATAATTAAATAAATACCAACAATAAGCATTACCAACTAGGACAACCACATTGTTTATGTTCATGTTATACCATATTTTATTTATGTTCACATCAAAATAAAATCCCAATATTCTTTGTTCTTTCCCAGCTGGCATCTTCTGATCTCCCATTATCCCTTCTTCCCCCAAGGAAAATTAATTGTTCATGTCATAAAAATGACTGACATTTAGTATATTATATTAAATTTATTTATTCTTTTTTCTAACTGCTACAAAACGCCCACCCTTCACAAGCCAAGCTTCCCTCTCTCTGGCGGCATTGTATCGAATCACCCATTTGAATTGTATCAACTTTCGGTGTGACTTAAAAACGTTTAGGGAATTTATCGAATCGTTTCCTTTTATGATGATTTATAGTATAATATCTCCGATACATTTCAATATATAATCGCTGGAAAACATATTATCAATAATGACATTTACATCGTGGTGTCCGTATTTATAATCTATGGAACATTAATATTGACAATGTAATATCAGCAAAACATAATAATTCATTCATTTTGAGACATTTGGGAAATAGAAGTTATAATATACATTATTCGGAGTCTGATTAATGAGAATTAGGAAATATTGATTTTACATATAATGCTGTAATGTGAACAAATGGTCTATGTGTGGAATGCAATTTCAACACATGTAATTTTCCTTCTGTCGCGCAAAAAAAACTACATTTTTGATAAATATCTCCTAAAATAGATATAAAAATCCATTTTTAGGTATTAAAAATAATTGCGAAAATTTGCCGAACATAGATTTTAAATAAAATTACAAGGAACATGTATAAAAATAAATTTAATACTTTATAGGGAGGAAAAAAATATAATACGTAGAAAATACAATATTTTTCATCTAGGAATTACTCAGTATCCTAAGAAAAATATACCTTTCTACCTAACTCTGCCATCACAATTAGCACAAATTCACAGAAATGTAGAATGCAAAGTAACAAAAATTGAGAATATAATGGGCTATATGGTATATATGTAAAGAATTTTTAATATACATTCCCAATATAAAATAATTTGAGTCTTTTTTCTCTTTTTTAAAAAAAAACATGTTCATAATATAAATAGTAAAATGTGATGTGCTATAAAATTATTGCAAAGATAAACAAAAATGTAATACACAAAATAAATTCACAAAAAAAAAATTTTTAAAAAAAACTTTCTCAAGTATTTAAACTAAACAATATTTCCATCTTAAGGCCTACCCATCAACACACGGCTGACCTTATCTATAAAAATATTTTCCTTTTAATATAATACATGCAAATAAAATTTTAATAAAATTTTATAATTTTAAAACAAAATATATTAAATATAAAGATTTCATAATTTAAAAAAAAATATATTAAGTACCATAATTCCTACCAATATATCTTATAAATCCATGTCACATTTATATATATATCAACAATATAAACTTATACCAATATATCATATAAATTCATACCAAATTTATATATATCAAACTTATACCAATATATCATATAAATTCATACCAAATTTATATATATATATATCAAATTCATACATTAAATCAAAAATAATTAAATATAACATATGTGTAATTCACATTACACCATATTTCATAAAAATGGTTAAAATAATATATCAACCTTAATTGAAACTGGATTACATATACAATACAGTAACATTAATTAACAATAAACCATCCCACACATGTCCATCCAAAAATCCACTTCTATATATATTTTCATAAATCCCCAATATTTTAAAATTCAGCAATCCTTTCTGTCTTGCATATCTTGAGGTCAAATTTTCCTATGACGGAATACCTATAACACCATTCAATGAGTCTTAAGGCTTACCAAATAATAGGATCATACCTATTGTCAAAATTAGATGTACAATATACATCTAGACATATAATATAACAAATAATCATTAACCCTTAACCAAGTTTATTTTTAAGGTAATATATAAATTACTATCTTAAATTCATGATTTTATTTTCAAGCCTAATACTCATTATATACTTTCTATCTTGTTATTAATTTGCTAAACATCTAACAAAATTCTAAACTCCCTTAATCTCACCTCTGTCCTGTTTAGTGGTTAATACTTGCCTTATGTACCGAAACCCTTATGTTGTCGATCCTGGTTCGCGGTCAACATAGAAGAATGCCCTTTACTCTCAACCCTTCTCTTTAAAAATATAACTTATTAATCCCAAACAATCCTTTTCTAATAATTAAATAAATACCAACAATAAACATTACCAACTAGGACAACCACATTGTTTAATTTCATATTATACCATATTTTATTTATGTTCACATCAAAATAATTTATAAATGTTTTATATTCATAAAAATAGTTCAAATCCCAATATTCTTTGTAGTGATCTGCATCGGGCCTAATATTTAAAGCCCGGCTCGGCCCAAAATTTTTTTTATAAAGTTTTGCCGGCCCGGCCTGAACCCAAATTTAAAAAAGTTTTGCCGGCCCGAACCCGAATTTTTTTTTAAAAAAATTTATTGGCCTGGCCTTGCCCGAATTTATTTAAATATAAATTAATTTTTATAATTACTCAAAATAAAAGACATATGTTATATGTCGCTTAGTTTCAATAAATAAAATCAAATATTTTTATTTTACATAAAAAATTCAATATAAAATTGATAAATTTAGATATATTTTAAAAAATTTCCAAGGTCCGACCCTACCCGGCCCAAATTTTTTTAAAAAATATTAGGCCCGGCCCGGCCCGAACCCGATTATTTTAAATAAAATTAATCCCAAGCACGGCCCGAAGCCCGTTTGGGCCGGGCCGGGTACGGGCCGGTTCTAACTTTGCAGATCTCTAATTCTTTGTTCTTTCCCAGCTGGCATCTTCTGATCTCCCATTCTCCCTTCTTCCCCCAAGGAAAATTAATTGTTCTTGTCGTAAAAATGACTGACATTTAGTATATTATATTAAATTTATTTCTTCTTTTTTCTAACTGCTACAACAACAACCTTTATATTATTTATTAACTTTATCATTTTACCATTATTTAACTGTTGCATTTTTGCGTTACAAAAAAATGCATTTTGCAAATCGTAAACAAAATTAATGTTTTATTAAAATATCCCCGTCTATGTAAATGAGAAAAAAACGCGTGATATTTGTAGATTTTTTCATACTTTAACAGTTTTAACAAGTGGGATGTAGAACTTTTTATTCTTCGCTAGGGAGACTATATAAATGTTGATTAAAGAAAAAGGATATATAATGGAGAAATTATGATGCGAAAAAGGATTATTTTTTTAACTAAAATTTACTTTTTAATTTTATTTTTCTTATATTAATTTTCTTTTATTTTGATTATGTTTTTCACTTGTATTTAATTATATTTATTATTATTTAATAAAATTCAACTATAATTTTAGTATATATTTCTTTTTATATTTAGGTTCTTAAGTTCACAAACAAAAACAATCAATTGTGACAATGGTGTTGGAGAGAGGAGGCGACAGGGCAATTACAACTTTTCAGTCTAATGCAAATCAATATATACGGTGGGACAGTCAAACTGTATTCTAATACAAAAAAAAATAATTCCAGAAGAACGTAAAAAAATATGTAAATAAAAGTAGGAAAAATATTTAGAGAAGTAAAAAGAAGAAAATTTATATTTTAAAATAAAAATTGGATAAAAAAGAGATTTAGATTTATTTTTAAAGACGTAGGTTGAAAAAGAAAAATTATTTTTATAAATTATGTTCAAAATTATGTAGGAATATAATATATAAAATTAAAAATAAAGAATTATAAAGGTAGCATTCATAGTAGATAAGATATAAAGAAGTTTGTGTTTAGTTATTTAAAGGTGATAATTAGGAATTTTATATTTAGAAGTTACTGGTAAACTAAAAACCATTTGAATTTTGAAACCTATAGAGACTGATATTTTAGATTTTAGAATTTATTATTAATTGATCACTAGAAATAACTATGACAAAGAAAAAGAAACATAAATTGCGAAGGTTAATATTAAACTAATAGTTTGCTAAGATATAATAATTTAAAAATTCGGCTAATAAGATTAGAATATAAATTTATTGTTAGGAAATAGTTGATGTTGTAATTAAATTC